TATTGAGTAGTTTGAGCTCCTTATATATTCTGGTTATTAATCCCTTGTCAGATGGATAGTTTACAAATATTTTCTACAAATCTGTGGGTTGTCTCTTTACTTTGTTGATTGTTTCCCTTCCTACACAAAAGCTTTTTAGCATTATGTGATCCCACTTGTCTATTTTTTGCTTTGGTTGCCTGTGCTTTTGAGGTCCTACACTATAAATCTTTGCCCAGACCAATGTCCTGTAGCATTTCCCTAATGTTTTCTTCTAGTAGTTTCATAATTTCAGATCTTAAGATTCAAGTCTTTAATCCATTTTGATTTGATTTTGTGTATGGTGAAAGATAGGGATCCAGTTTCATTCTTCTGCATATAGTTATCCAATTTTCCTAGCACAATTTATTGAAAAGACTGTCCTTTTCCCATTGTAAATTCTTGGCACCTTTGTCAAAGGTGAGTTGGTTGTAAATGTGTGGATTTATATTTGGGTTCTCTATTCTGTTCCATTGATCCATGTGTCTGTTTTTATGCCAGTACCATGCTGTTTTGGTTACTATAGCTTTGTAATAAATTTTGAACTCAGGTAGTGTGATGCTTCCAGCTTTGTTCTTTTTGCTCAGGATTACTTTGGCTATTTGTGGTCTTTTGTGGTTACATATAAATTTTAGGATTTATTTTCTGTTTCTGTGAAGAATGTCATTGGAGTTTTGATAGAGATTGCATTGAATCTGTAAATTGCTTTGGGTAGTATTGTCACTTTAACAATATTAGTATTCTAATCCATGAGCATGGAATATCTTTCCATTTTTTATGTCCTCTTCTATTTCTTTCATCTGAGTTGTATAGTTTTCCTTGTATAGATCTTTCACTTCTTTGGTTAGATTGAGTCCTAGGTAGTTTATATATTTTTGTAGCTTTTGTAAATGCTCTCTCAATTTCTTTTTCAGATTATTTGCTGTTGACATATATAAATGCTACTGATCTTGTATACTGGCTTAAACAACAGAAATTTATTTTCTCACAGTTCTGGAAGCTAGAAGTCTCAAATCAAAGTATTGGTAGAGTTGGTTCCTTCAGAGGGCAATGAGGGAAGAATCGGTTCCATGTCTTTCTCCTTGGCTTATAGATGGCCATCTTCTCCCTGTGTCTTCACTTCGTCTTCCCTCTGATGTGTCCATGTCCAAATTTCTCCTTCTCACTAGGACACCACTCAGATTGGGTGAGGACCTACCCTAATGACCTCATTTTAACTTCATCACCTCTTTAAAGACCCTATCTTCAAATATGATCACATTGTGAGGTACTGGGGATTAGTACTTCAGCATATGAATTCGGGGGGTCCAAAATTCAGCCCATAACAGATGCTTATACACGTAGTGGGGCACATTACAGGAGAGGAACACTGAGATTAGGAGACTGACCATGAAAACAAGCCCGCTGTTGTCCAGGGTGCCTTACCTCATCCCTCAAGGCTGGTGTCCGCAAACAACTCTGAGAAAAGGCCTGGATAAGGAGTGGCCAGGTCCTTGCATCCTTGGCATAGTCAGCAAGAATGTGCAGGGATTGTCAGGATCATGTGGATTCTCTCCCCCAAAAGAAATGCACTCAAAATACTAGATTAAGTTATAGCTGTATCATCCTTGAAGTCTTTATTAATTTGGGTTCTGTTTTTTGTAGCTATATCATTGATCTGACCTCTCCAACAGTTATCTATGTTGAAGAAAAACCTGAGCCACATCTCGTTCCCAGGTTGCAATTGTTTTACTTAAAAATTTATCTTCAATACCAATTAGGGAGTAAATTTAGAGCTTACTTAACTGTTATGTTATCTGCTTTTGTCGCATAATGCAAACTATTTTTAAGTTGAAGAGATTTCTTTACTATTTCGTAGATGTTTATAGCAAATAAACTCAAAAATATGTTCAGAATAATTGAATGGAAGTAATTCTTATTTTTTTAACAGATGGAATCATCACTTATATATGTTATAATTTTACTTTTGAAGGTATTTGAATTTTCATCAGGAATAGTATTTAATAAAGGTAAGTTTCAGACTCAGTCTCCAT